TACCAGTCTCATCCTAATGCTTTAGAATACCCCGGGTACTTGATTTAAGATGCTTAGGGTGCCAAGAGGTTTATTTAAAAAAAAAAACACCTATTTATGGACTAAACCCACTGCCAACTGGCATTGGGAAAAGTCTCTTCTACTAAACAATATTCTACTCCCAGACTTTGTCTGTGAAGCAACTGAATTTCAAACCTTAAAAAGTAATTTAACCCATGCAGATGTTGGAGCCAAGAATGAGATTGAAAGAGCAAGATCACACTGTTGGAAAAGAGCAACAAATTTAATAATGACTGCAGTGCAAGTCTGTTCTGGCCGTTGCTTTGGTACCCGAAGTCTCGAGCAAGAGTCCCAGCAGCGAACAGACAGCGTGTCTTGACCACATCTTATCCATGTATGGTTATATTTGCCAGCTGCAGAAAAGTATTTGAGAAAAATTACACAGTCAGTGACCTTACCATCCATTTTGCTGTGTTTCTGTTGCCAGCTGACTTGACTGAACAGCACAAACATTCCAGCTACTGAGCAGATCCTCGCAGTGTGCTGAATTTTGAATGCTTCACACATTAAAGCTGTAATTTCTGCCAGGCTCGGGAAGCTCCTCTTTTCTGCACAGGCTTCTCTCGGAGAGGAGAAGGCACTTTTTTTTTGTAAAAATGTACCATGCATTCAAAAACACCAAGAGAAAACTGCAGTCTGCATGACAAAAAGGATGCAGAGCAGAGCGGATTAAGGGCAGCGCAATGTCAAATGGGAGGGGAGGGATGGTCCAGTCTTCAGCTAGGAAAAAAATAACAAGAGAAATGATCTCCCTGCGCTTACGTGAGACGTATGCAACAGAAGTTGCTTGAGAACCCCGATACATCCTTTCTTACCCGTCCAAACTGCACATGAGAAAGGTGGATTGAATTCTGCTTTGCTACAATCACAGAAACCTACTGCGATTTTACCGACTTCAGCGACTTAAACAGTTTGCAAAGGTGGGCACAGAGGAACACTGGACTGCTAACAGGGGACCCACACCGTGAGCGTGCATTGCTTTCTGTCCGCTATTTCACCGCAGGATTTCACAAACAGTTCAGGAAGAAAAAACCACAGCAACAGATGTCTGCTGGAGGCACATAACCCCTTCGGCTCCAAGGGCTACGTTTTTGGCTAACAGAACCACTTACTCCCAGGAGCTAATGAACAGCCACTTTGTACATCTTACGCTTTGCTCAGTTAAGAGGTGTAATGAAATGCAACACATCACCTTCTGTACTTTGATTGTTCCCTTTTGCTACCACCTAGCAATGTTACACAGTGTTAAATCTTCCGTTATAGCTTACGCTCTCCTCCCATCTGCCCTTTTATTTCTTCTTTTTCCCCCTCTTGTTTCTCTCCACACATTTGATTTATGTATTTTTTATGTTATTTAGCTTTTATTCGGCTCCTCTCTGCATTAGCCAGCCTGGAAAGCATCCTGCCTGAGAAACGCGCTATGCACCGCAGGCAGCGCAGCTACACCACCGCTGCAGAAGAGAACAAGCAGCAGAGAGCTTCAAGCAGCAGCCCCCGGTACCTATCCTAAATTAATGACGGCTGTAGGAAAAAACTCCATCTCCTGCCAGTGCAGAGAAGGCACTCCTCAATGCAGGAAAACCAGGGCAGAACAAGCCTGGGTGCACAAAGCAATTGGGGGAACTGGTATCCGACGCTGCTGGGTTTACTGTGCACCACTGACAAGGCAAAAGGCATTTGGACTTCCGGGCAGGTCCACGTGAAATGTTCAGACCAGGCTGAAGAGATGCTGAGCACTGATAAACGCAGTCTGCTGGCAGCCATGGCGGGGCATCCCCTCTCTGCCCACGGGCTGGAGGGACGCTGTGCTCGGCCACCTAATCCAGCCAGGGCTGGGGGGGCCGTTGTCAGCCAAATTAAGAGGCTTCCACACTCCGGATGGCCAGCTGACAAGGAGGTTTCTTTGCGATACCAATGTTTCGTTTCACGCCTCTGTTCTTATCCTTCCTGCTATTATAAAATGTTCTTCCGTTGTTGGAGTGAGCGCCTGTGATACCGCAGTGACTCACGTTTCCACGTCTTTATCTAGCTGTATTAGCCTTAAAGGAAAATCCCACTCCAACTGCTATGCAACTGCACAAAATAAATTTTACAGACCCTGACAGCACCAGAACAAGGTCCAAACTGCAACAACATGGTGAAAATTTTAGTAGGGCCTGCGGTCAGCTCTGCATCCGGCAATACAACTCCTAGATTCAAAGCACACGAAAAGCTGCTTAGTCCCAAATATGTTTATGCAGCGCTTCTAGATGCCTGGGCTCAGGCAGACAGCAATGCTGCTGAAAAAACCCCAAACACATAAATACATGCACGCACAAAAAAACCACAAGAGCAGCATCACCCACATGACAGAGTATCCACTGCACAGCATTTGTTTCCTCCTAGTGGACCAGGGTGTGATTGCACCGCTGGCCTCCACCGCTTGAAATTGCCCATTAGATTTGCGGCGCTGGAATTAAACGCGCAGACCCTACCTGTAACGTACAGCGGTCTCCTCTTCAAGAGTGCCGATTCTAGAAGCACTCAAATATTTGCCATTCAGACTATTTTGATGAGTCACACTCAATTACTGCATAATCAGTACTTTAATTTGCTCACTTTCCTAATAAACACTTGGATATTGAAAAATAACAATGTAGAACAGAAACACAGTTTTACTCTCGGACAGGAATCCTTCACTGCTTTAGTACGAAGGATTTGTACCGCATTTTCATGCGGGAGTTTCAAGGCGATGTGAAATTTGCCATTTGCAGAAGAATTTCTAACCAATTTGCTTCATATTCCAGAGATCATTTGAGGAAAGCCCTAAGGAACAGAGATTTTGGAAGACACTGGAGCAGGCAAGCGCTCGGGCTATCGGAACGTGATAACCTGTTACTGCACTATGGAAAAAAGAATGACTGGTTCTCTGGGATGCTCATCAAGACTGCTGGCAAGTTTGTTTACTCAAATTCAAGTATCTCTTTTCATTATCACGTTCAAACAGCTCACAAGTAACAGGAACCTCTATGGGCAGTACAGAAAATTGTACACGCATCGAGATAAAATTTAACCACTTTGTGTCAGCGTTTATAAACGTGACACTTCTCAAAACAAACTCACCAAGATGCAAATCAGCAAACACTCGCATCCTGCATCTTTGCTTCCCAGGAACAAAAACTTCTCGTGGAGCCCAATTCCCCGATGCCCAAACTCCAGGAAATGTTTTATTGGCAAACCCCAGGAAACAGCTTTACAATTCAGGAGACTCACCTGAAACTTCAGGACTTTCTCAGAACATTAATGCAGTTTTTCAGTGAACTTTTATTCCTTCAGGAGCAGCCAGGCTTTGCTGCTAACAGGAAAAGGCGTCTCAGGAGGAGAACCCAGCCCAGACACAGGTTTATGATGACAGCAGCATTGGCATACAGCACTACTCACAGTGTAACTCGCCCTTGAAAGAAACAGCACACCCATGAGATAACACAAACGTTACAACCTCGAGATTAAGATGAGCTCAAACGTGTATTTGACAAAAATACAGAAACACCCAGTGCCACATTCTAGTAATACAGAAATAACTTTGTTTCGGATAAAAGCAATGTATTTGATAATTTAAGGTTAAAGCAACTTTCCATATGCATCAGTACTCAGCCAAGTAAAAAAAAAGTCAAATACTTTTACAGTCAAGACAGGAAGAAAAGAGAGAAACTAAATGTATTTGACTGCAACTTCTTACAAGCAGCGGTCTCTCACAGACAGTCGTCGTCCCCACCATACCACTCCACCTGCAAACCCTCATTCTCTACCTCTGTGCTGCCTTCTCTCCTATGCTGCCTCCTCTACTTTTTGTGCCTCCTGCCAAAGTTCAGACCAGTCAGCTACAACCTCAGCCTCTGAAAGCCTCACATTGAGAATAAGCAAAACTCTTTCTTCAATCTTAACCAGTCATATTAACACAGTAAAAGTCACATCCTTAAAAAAAGAAAAAATTAAATAAAACCTCTACTGCCCCGATCATCTGGAAGAATCCTTAAGGGTCCAGGTTATAATGTCAGCTTCTCGAAAAGGCCTTCCCTCTAGCTCTGAGGTAGTCTCTCTGTCCCAGCACACTGGGAGCTCAGTCTTAGGCAGGCTGCAATTATGCTAATGGACCAGGTTTAATACAAAACTGCCCTCTGCCACCCCACTCTTTGGGTTTTGCTTTGTAACCATTTGCATGTTAATAAATCAAAGCTATTTAATTTACAGAAACCAACATGATAGGCATTAACACCACCGTGCCAGATGAGACAGACTAGTGCCATACAAAAGGAGGAGAAGAGCTCTCCTTGTCTCATCCTTCCTTTCCCCCTTGTTTCCAGCTGTCGCCCAAGCCTTTCCTCGTCCATGTTCAGTTCTTTGGGTAAAATTAGCTGAACCACGTTAACAGTTAGCCCAGGGAGGCAGGAGTTACTTAAGACACACGGAGCCTAAGGCCACTTAGTAAGAAAGGTGTGCCTCCTCCCTCTGCAGTGGGAAGAGTCCTCCGGAACCAGCCAGAGCAATGATGAAGCAGACAGTAATGATGGGAAGGGTCGTAGTTTTTATTTTAGCTTCTGGAATAAATCAGCCTAGCCTCCCCCTCCAAAGGGCCCTGTGGTCTGGGGAAGTCAGCTTCACTGCTAGAGACTGCAAGTGAAACTAAGGCTTTCTAGCAGCAAAGACAACCCTGCCCTCCTCCATCACTCTGAGCACTCCGTATCATTCCACTTGTCTATTCAGAAAGCGCCCTCAGAGACCATCTTCCTAATCCTACTCTGAATACAGGTCTGCAGTTCCAGTAGTACGTTCTTGATAATGCATAGCAGTAGGGCCAAGTTTCAACACTCCTGTAAAATCAAAGGTAAAGTTGCCCTTTAGCCCCATCTCGCTATAAGCCTTTTATGTGGTCTGTTCGGAGTTTGCTATTTTGTTGTTTTACCAGAGCCACACAGAACAGTAGCGTAACAGGGCAAACGTGACACCTGCAGAAAACGCAGCATAATGAGAGGTTAAGCTGCATTTTGGCACCGTTTCTTTCCTGCCACTGCCTTTTACATAGAAATCTATCCAGACCCGTGACTTCAGAACCACTCTAGAATGTTAAGATCTACATTTTGAACACACTTTCTACTGAACAGCCTCAGAGTAGTACACATGTATTTGAAAATAATTTAATACCTATTTTCTGATTAAGTACATTCTGTGCGTCGTTTTAGTTTCATACTCAATGAGAGGGTACACACACTTTACAGGACAAAAAAATTTAAACCTTGACTATTTAGTAAATTATGCATTGTAGTGATTAAAACAAGACAAGCACCGGAGAAAATACACATGCTGAAGCCTGATGTATATACTACATGGAAAGTCTTCAGTGACACGACAGAATTTGTGGTTTTTCCCCCAATTACAAGTGAGCAGAGGATTTGTCAGACATTCATTCTGTAGCTTCTACTGTCCACTCTATGCCTCCTTCCTCTTGATGATCAGAGGCCCAACGTTGTCGCCAGTTTCCTCGTTGTGTTTTGTGTGAGAACCATCACACAGCGGGAACTGAAAAGAGAAAGAATAAACACATCTGAAGTATATCCAGAGTCAGAATTAAGAACCTAGGCTGAGAGTTCATTAGGACGTCTGGTCATTAAATCCACTGTGACTGCAGAACATAACTTTTATACTGGCATCTCAGGTCTCCCTGAATTATGGCTGAACACTAGGTTTGTCCATGCAAGCGCAGGGCGGACAACAGGCTTGTTAAAAAAAAAGCAGCAACCCAGTTCCATGCTATTTGGTGATCCTGCCTCAGGACAGCGTGAGGAAAACTCAGCCCATGCTGACCTTCAGGGGTTACCTACCCGGAGCATCTTGCTCTCAACCTTGCCTCACGCTCTGTTTTCCCAGGCAACAGCCAGAGCTGAGTGCAGTTACAGAAGAGAAGCGGGGTGAAGAAGAGAAACAGGAGATCCTTTGCTGAATTTTTTTTCCTGGTTTTCCATAGCACATGATGAGAAAAAGGACAGTTTCCCTAGCTCACCTCATATTTAAGAGAGATACCTACATATTAGTCCTGCCTCCAGACAGCTGGAACGGCAAGCTGCTTTTGCTTCATCCTGGCACAGCTAGCTTATCTCATCGACACAAAGGTCCTTTTGCGCAAGCTGGCTTCAACATAAGGATTTTGACCTGCTAATGGAAATAAACTGCACTTCCAACTGACATGACCATTCATCAGGGGGCTTTAAGGGTAGCACTGAGGAAGTAATTTGAATAAATGGTGTTTTTTTCATAAAAAAACCCCTCCTATAACAGCCTGGTCAGAGCAAGACCCATGGGGACTCTTTTAGCCAGCTGTAACTGCGCAGGTCCAGACCAGACACAACCACCCTGCGCCTGGGCAGCTCTTTTCACATGCAAGAGCCACAGGGCATTCTGTGAGGCAACAAGAGTGAGGTTAGAAGCCATCACTTCTCAAGGATGTGTTTTCAGGGCCATGCTTCCTCTGCAGAGGAAACTCTGGAAATGATCACAGAAGTCACACGCCCGTATTTTGCATTCGGTTACTATTTTGTTTGTTTAGAAGTAATGGGAATCACAGTTGGGCATTACTCAGCTGTTGCCTTTGCAACAGCCATATTCCCTCGCAGTACAGTCACAATCAGTCTTTGACACTCCCCTGATCCCAACGATCATGCCTCAGCCATAGCCCTAGAAAAAAATTAACACCCTATCACCCACGCTTACTTAGAATAAAATACTTAGAATAAAAGACTTCAAAGTACTGCAGGAAAACAATCTAATTAAGACAATGTAGTTTCATAAAAAAAAAAAATTCCCAGAGCTCTAAAAATAAAGCCACATGCTCTGTAGGGTCGTATGTTGGGGGGGAGGGGGGGGGAGAAGAGGTAAGGTGGGGAGTTTTTGTTTTTCAGTTACAAAATGTCAAAACCCACGCTATAAATGGCAGGTGATGTTTCCAATTAAAGAAACCCTCAATTCAGAGAATACTCATGTAGGCTGATTCATGCAGGAACTTTATCATCACATCAGTCATTTGTGACTCAAGGAGTAGGTACTGACAGACACTTGGGAAAAATGCAACGAATGTATGTTCATGGGACACTGACCAGCTTCTCAACCCAGATGTTCCTGGGCCAGCTGTTTTTCCATGCAACACCACAGTCCACTGGTCTTTGCAGAAGCGTCGACCCAGCTTCCATCCATGCCCCAGGGAGGCAAGCCCAAGGTCCAGCTACAGCATCATCATGACTTCAAGTTTGCAAGTGACAAAAATGGTGGGATTCATAGGTTTCAGATAGCATCGAGACACCTTTAACAGCTACCAACTCTGCTCTGGGTCAACTGGTCTCGGAACCACCAGCTCCCAGAGGCTGGGACACTAGACTTGAGCTTCTCAGAAGGAAAATAAACCACCACCACCACTTTTTCCAGAGCAGCCACTTGGTCACCGTGAAGAATAGATGGATCCTGGGTCTGACGCAAAACGTTCAGCCTTGATTAAGATAAAGCAAGCTGGCAATAGGGGCCAAAGCTCAAACCCTGAGGGAAATGTGCAGTGATCTGGACAGATCAGCTTATTTCCCTCGACAATGAACAGGTTTAGATTTTCTACCACTATTTCTTCTGAGGTTCTGCAGCAGTATTCCTTGACCCGCAGCCTGGGGACTAATACTCCTCTGGAAGACACAGGGGTTGCAGGTCATTGCAAAAGAAAGCTAATTCATCTTTTTTCCCTCCAGCTCACACACTTAGAAATGCAGAAGGGTCAGAAAACAAATGTTCCAACTTCAGACTAATTACAGTTTGGTTTTAAGACAAAACTCTTACCTCGACGCTGGTAAATTTGAACACTGGGTTTTTCCAGAAAACTTGACGAGCAGTGCTATGAAGTGCCTGCAGAGCACAACACTGAATAGGAAAGGGCCGTTTAAAGAACAACCTACTACCTCCTTTAACAGGTAATTACATCCCGAGGCAGACTTATTTGAAGACAGCATGTGTGGGTTTTTTAAACACATGCACTCCACAAAGACTTTGGCTAGCACAAACAAACCAACCAGGCCTCTGAAGTAAGCTATTTCAGAAAAAAATCCCAACTGAAAATAATCTCGCTCCTTTTAAGAGTTACACCAAATCACCCTGGTTTAGTCCAACTGTTTTGTTATTCCCTGTACAGGAGGAACACCACGCAAAGCCAGCTGTAGTGCATCAGTACACACAGAAATATCCTATGGTTCGTAACACTATGGGTTCTATTAACCATGTCTCAGAGGCTTAATCGGATAAGAAGTGTTCACACAATCATACAAGAGGATATTTCTTCTAACCTGTATATGGAATAGAGATCCCCATACGCCACTTATTTAACAAAAACACAGCAGGTACTTACTGCTTTTGAAGCAACTGTGTGCAACTGAAGCACGCCCATTCTACCATTCTGCCATCGTATAAACATTATCTTACAAATTTTAACAGGATCTTAGTTTGAGAACTGTAAGAAACAAATAACGCTAGCTAACTACTTCCAAAAATGACAAGCATGTGAGAATGATGAAGAATGACTCTATATTTGACTACCGCTTGGCAATAACTGAACACAAGAAGCAGCACACACACCATGCTACCCACCACACAAGGTCAACTGATCAGGGCAAGAGGAAGGCAGCAAAACTGAAAACTGCAGTCTTTGAAGCACAACATGCTGACTGAAATACTCATTATTAAGCATCAGTAAAAGAAAACAAAGGCCTTCAAAAATTTTCCACTGACTCCCTTAATGCTTTTACAAGACCTTTCAGATCAGGGTTCTAATAACAGACTCATTATAGGGCACCCCTATTTACTTCCTTTTAGTGTGCGATTGCAGAGCCCCACCTCGGTAGGACAGTACGTTCCTAAACTGGCAACACCCCTTCAATATATGCCAAAATGTACTACTTAATATTTTTATTTCATACTGCTGGTTTTGGCTGGGCTAGAGTTAATTTTCTTCACAGTAGCTGGTATGGGGCTGTGTTTTGGATCTGTGCTGGGAACAGCGCTGATCACCCTGGGATGTGTTCGTTCTGCTGAGCAGGGCCTGCACAGAGCCAAGGCTGTCCCCGCCTCTCATCCCACCCCACCAGCGGGGGCCGGGGGGCACAAGGAGCTGGAAGGGGATGCATCTGGGGCAGCTGACCCTGACTGACCCCAGGGGTATCCCACACCATATGATGTCATGCTCATTGTACAGAACTGGGGGAAGGAGGAAGGGAAGATGTTCAGAGCGATGGCGTTTGCCTGCCCAAGTCACCGTTACCTGTGATGGAGCCCAGCTGTCCTGGGGATGGCTGAGCACCCACCTGCCCATGGGAAGCAGGGAATTAATTCCTTGCTTTGCTTGCAAGCACGGCTTTTGCCTTACCTATTAAGGCCTTTATCTCAACTCACCACTTTTCTTACTTTTACCCTTCTGATTCTCTCCTCCTATCTTCCATTTCTGTTTAGAAAACAGAGTAGGAAGCAGAAAGTACAAACACTGAGGTTCAAGTTAGGATTTTTTTTTTTTTTTTTTTTTTTTTTTGCAAAAGCCTTGAAGGAGGTGCCTACGCTATCGCAACACGAGGTAAATCCAAATTCAAATATTAAAATGAAGTGCAGATACTTGGAGCAGCCTTTCTCCTCCCCCTTTTTCTTTTCTGAAGCTGTAGCCCTTGCAGCAGCTTCCAATTCTGGATTCTGGCTGTCAGTTGAGACTTACCACAGTGATTTAGCGGCAATGCTGCTATACACATCCGTGATACCTGCACGCTGCACAGCCATCAGCACTGCCTGCAAATACACATACCTCCCTGTTGTATACAATATAGAACAGTCCACGGAGCATGCTGTGGCAATGCGGGAGGGAGGGGGAGGATATTTTTGTTTTTCAGTTCTCCGGGCAGAGGAAAGATGACAAGCCCATCTCCACAGGACTATTTCAGAATCAAGTCGCGATGCTCTTTAATCCTCAGTAGTGTTTTAATGTTAAACCAAATACAGCTACAAACGTGTAACTTCTGAGTTATTTTCACCTGCACGGTAATGAAGTCAGATCTGCCAACAGCAAGGACCGAAAGTTACAGTACCTGGAAAATGGCAGAGTGTGGCTCAATTAGACCCCTGTCTCAGGCTTGAGAAGCCTGGTATTCGGTTCACTGATGGAGAGATTGCTAGATTTCAAGGCTGCTGGCCTCAGTTATCTGGCTTTGAAGGTTTGTATTATACTTCAGTCTCACATTAGCACCCTGACTTCTAAAACAGCTTTTAAAATGTGTGCCAGTGGTAAATGGAAAGGACTACTCATGCAGTCCACTTCCTCTCATTACGTATCCCAGAACTACCACTACAGATAAATTATACTGATCTCAGCTACGTCAAGTGTCATGCATCTCTACCTCAGACTTAGATCTGCTCTTAGTGTTATTGGAAGGCTAGGTATCACGCTTACCACTAGTTTTAGGCAACTGAGGCAAACCAACTACATACACAAGTTGGACCAGTGTCTAGATCAGACTCTAAATTGCTCAAAAACAGAGGCTTAAAGTATGCCATCATCATTTCACTGGCTTTACCGTAGGATTACCCATATAACTACTTTGAGTTGCTAAGGCACAAATGCATTAATTCCCTATGTCTAGATTCTTCAAAAGCTTTTAACCACAATGACTTTTTAGATTACCTCCATCACCACTGGAAGCAACTCACCACTGTACTCATTCATGTGGCAAAAGGTAGCTACCTACAGTACACAGCAGTACCACAACAACAAATTCAGGACAGAACACCAGTACCGCCATAACACCATCTGCACAAGACAGGCTCTTCCAAAACCATTCCATACTCACCTCATCCACAAGATTTAATGATGGGCTCAGACATTGCAAGTGACAATTTGGCACCAGCTCGGGTATACCAAGAGACTTCTTAATGGATGTGCGTTATTAACACCATGAACTAATAGCAAGATACTTTCTGACTGACAGAGTAAACTTCCAACTTCCTTCAGTAAGAGGTGTTTTAAGGTCCTCTCAGACTGTGTTTCCTGAGCTCCTCCTGCCAGCAGGCCAGTAGTTTTGTATAAGCCTCAGTATTAGCAAAGGCAGCACACAAAATGGTATCTGTCATTCTTGACTGGGCTTGCTCCATACAGCAGCTTCCCTTTCAAGGCATCTGCTTCTTCAGAGCTACAGAAACATTTTGTTCACTATTAGCACTGATCTGCAGGCTTTGCTCTGAGTGACAACATAAATCTACATAGTTTTATGGATTAAAATACTGCTACATCTCACTGCAGAAGAGTTTAGGTGAAAAGAAGTTAGTTTCCTCTAAATAAAGCAGTCTGAAAAGAGTTCTGTTAAAAGATGCATTGCGCATGAACGAAATTGGACCATTTATTCTTCTCTTACCTTCTTAGATCTCCAACAACGACAATACACAGCCTTGTCTCCCAGATCTTCCATATCAAATGCATGGACTACCTTGGGGTTATCCTTCTGGATATGGGGATTCACCATTGCTTTGCAGCATTTGTCTTTAGAGAGAAATTTTTTGTAAGCTAGATACCCAACAGCAGCTGCTCCAGCAGCTAAGGAGACTGCAGCGATCCATTCAACTAGAATAAAAGAGAAGGAAAAAAGAGAGACTGTCACTTTTTGACCGCAACATTCTATTAAAACTACTCGGAAGTAAATGTCTTTGTGCTCGTGGCAACACCTCCACTTTCCAGCCCACCTTTTTATTCTGTAGTGGTAACACGCTACTTTAGAAGAATATATTCTTTTGGCACTGACCTAGTTGATCTACTCCTTTCTCCTGATCAGAGTTCTCCTTCACCCCAATCCCTTCTACACAAGGGTGAGGATTAACCTGGCAGGGTTTGGGTTGTTGGTTTTTTGGGGTTTTTTTTTAAACCTTTTATTTGGGAACCTGTGATACCAGCAGCGGTAGTACAGTGTTTCCAAGTTCAGCATATTAAACCAGCTATAAGTACACCCTATAGCAGCAACCCTCCCTGTTGTTTCAGTTGCAGGGAAGTCGCTAAAGAAGAACACTCAGCATCAACAACCTAAGCGGGTTCCCCCCAAGGTATGGGTATGGAGTAGCAACTAAAAATGTTAACAAGTGTTTGGCAGTGGGGAAAGTATTTAATATAAGAGCACTTCAGAAGAGTAACAAAAGCCAGCTTAGATTAAATCCCTACTGTGGTGTACAGGAAAGGATATAGATACAAAAAAAGATTATATTTAAGAATAATAGCATGAAGTTTATTTTAACTGGATTAGGTCCTGACTCTCTGAAAGACAACTTCCATTAAAAAAAATCCTCTTTCTACTACCTCCCATCCTTACTGCCCCCCTCTCTAGATATCTCCAAAATCTTTGCAGTCTCACTCACTTGGTATAATTTCCTTTTCTGCAATGAGTTTTCCTACTTTTTTGTAGCTCTGTTGTTTCCTCTCTGCCTCACGAAAATGTGCTGGACTTTGGCCCAAAGGTTCTGGCTGCAGCAACAGCCCCAGCCATTTCTCTCAGAGCTGCAGGCAGCTGCTCCTTTTTTACTTTTTATCCCCCACTTCTACCCACACATGTGCTCCTAATGTGCACATACAGAGTTTGGCTGACTCTACAGACAAATAAATCAAACAGAATTTAAGTTTTAGCCCATTTACATGACTTAGGAAAACTAAAACAGCCTCCAGTTGGGAATTTCTACCTTGCCCTTCAATGTTTGCATTGGATTTGAAAGATGCCAAACTACACAGCATCTTTGGGGCAAGAGATTAACTCTTGCATTACCTCTAAAGGATAAGAAGAAACAAAAAGCCTTTCTTAGTTCTTGCTGCTTCCCATGGCTAATTGACTTGCTCATCGTGAGCACGCACTAAAAGGATCAAGAAGGTTTTTCCACCCTGTACCACAGCCTTTTCTAAAATCCATACCTTGAGACCCTTCCTCAGCTAAAACGTGTTAGCTTGTATGCACCACGCTGATCCACAAAGGTGTGGATGTAGCAATACATGGAATTAGACAAATATTTGGATGATGTCTGCAGCCCTGTAAGTTCAGGGAAGGCAGGCACTCCTTTAGAATCTTACTAAAGGAGTAAAAGATGCAGAAATCCAGAGTTCATTTTCTTAGTAAACGAAGCAGAAGAGACCAACATACACCGAGACCTCCCCTGCAGATGAGTGACAAACCCTCCCTGTAACAACAAGGTGATATTAAGATACAGAAAACCATCTTTAACATCAAAGAGTTTAGGGCATGTTTCCCTGCTCCTGAACGCCTTAAAACAGTAAAAGCCCCAGAGAGTATACTGTGAATTCAGTAGTTTATACCCACCCAGTGAGTTCTTGCCCTCTTTATCTCCCCATTACAAACTAGCTAGAGTAATGCATTAATTTTAATAGGATAAAAGAACTGAGGACGTGAAATTAAAGAAGGGATTCTACAAAAACCTGCTTTAATTTAGCAAAACAACCCCAGCAAATCCAAAGAACAGCCACCGCTTAAATCAGAGGCAGCAGATTCTTCCAAAGAAAGCCACCACAGAGAGTCTGAGAAGGAGGTACCCAGCTAGCGCAGGGACAACCTGGGTCTGACAAATTTAAGGTGATTTCTGGCAGCCACAACAGCGCCAGGCAAAAGAGCGTGACTGGCCGTACTGGGGATTTCAGAAAAGCAGCAGTTGCAAGGATTGCCCGAGCCGCTCGCTGATGCGGTGCCAACAGATCAAATCTTAACCAAGGTGTTTAAATAATCGATGAGGGGACAGCGATAGACTCTATCC